TGGAAACTTTTCCGAAACTCTGAATTTTGCCCTTTTTTCACACTGATTTGTCCCGATTTATTCCTATGAACATGAAAACAGTAAAACACACAACCAACGCATATAAAGTGGTAAAATGAAATAAAACATTCGACAATAAAAAGAAAAGATAACTGAAATTAATGCTAAATAACTGTGTAAAAACCAGAGATCTGTCATCTCACCAATCACCACCGTGTTAATTATGTTATTAATGGTAGAGGTAGAGCGGGGGGACTTTTGTTGTTATGGTCCAATGATGTTAACATCCATATTATTGAGTCTAATGAAAACCTTATTGATTTCTACTATTGTTCTACTACTGGTGGGAATCTTTTAGATTTAAATTTAACTAACAATATTAACAATACTTATAATACTTGTGGATTGGTGGACCTAGGTTATCATGGAAACATGAAGACCTGGACTAACAACCAACAAGGAGATGACTGCATTACATCCAGGTTGGACAAATATTTGGCTACTAAAGAGTGGACCAACAAGTTCCCCATTTCTAAAAATATTCACCTTCCTAGACACGTTCTGATCATAATCCTATTTTCCTTTATTTTCAGGAAGAAAAAATGAAGGAGAATAACATCTACCTAAATGAAAAGCCTAAGAGATTTGAGAACATATGGATGGCATACCAAGACTCTGAAAAAGTCATTAGTACCAACTGGAATGATATCAACCTTAAAGATACCAAAGACAAAATCAGACATACTTTGGAAGAATTATGGAGTTAGGGGAAGATGAAGGGTACATAGATCAATAGAATCTTAAATGATCTGAATAGAAAGTTGAAGCAGATGCATGAGGATAATGAGAAAAATAGGAATATTACTAAAATTAATAAAATACATGACAACATTGATGATCTCCTCCACCAGCAAGAGACTTGGTGGGCGCAAAGGGTTAAGGCACATTGGCTGAAAGAAGGAGATATGAATACCAAATTTTTCCATAAAAAGCTTCACAAAAGAGGGATTAGAACAAGATCAAATAGATGGAAAAGACATCGGGGGCATGACTAAGAATATTGGGGAGATTCATAATATTATCCTTAAGTTCTATCAAAATTAATTCTAAGCTGAGGAAATCAAACTTCATGAGGAATGTTTTTAGGGTATCCCTAAAATCAGCTCTAAAGAAATGGCTGCAGACCTGGACAAGCCTTTCGCTCAAGAGGAGGTGGAAAATGCTATTAAGGCATGGAAAGTAACTCGGCCCCGGGGCCTGATGGCTTACCTGCAGGGTTCTATCATAACTATTGGGACATAACTGGAAAAGATATGATGGATATGACTATGAACATCCTTAATAATAAGGATAATCCTTCTAGATACAATCAGACTTACATCAGCCTGATACCTAAAACCAACAACCCTACAAACCCCCCTGAGTTCAGGACAATTGCATTGTGTAATGTGATCATGAAGGTGATACCTAAAGCCATAGCCAACAAGCTTAAAAGGTGGCTGCCTAATATGATTAGTGACAACCAAAGTGTCTTCATCAATGGGAGACAAATAACAGATAACACTATGGTGGCCTATGAGGTTTTTGAACATATTAATAATTCTAGGAAAAGAAAAAAAGGTAGGTGGGCATGAAGCTTGACATGGAAAAGGCCTATGATCGGTTGGATTGGAATTTTATTCAAAAAAGTATGTCTAATTTTGGGATTCCCATCAAGTTAAATAACCTAATCATGAGATGTATTAGAACTACTACTATGGCTATCCTTATCAATGGCCATCCTACGATTTTTTTTAAAACTACTAAGGGAATCAGACAAGGAGACCCTCTCTATCCTTATCTCTTTATTCTATGTGCTGATATATTTTCTAACCTCATTAGAAAAGCTCAATCTACTAACAAGTTTACAAGTATATCCATAAATAGAAAATCCCCCAATATTACACATCTTTTTTTTGCAGATGATAGTCTTATCTTCTGCCAAGCAGGGGAGAAGGAGGAAAAAACCCTAAAAAACATCATTCAAAAATATCAAGAGAGTTCTGGACAGAAGATAAACTACCTAAAATCGCAACTTATGTTCAACAGAGGTACAATGGACAAGAACATGAATCACTTCAGAAACATGCTGGGCATTCCCGAGGTGGGCCAGATTGAGACATATCTGAGGCTGCCTACAACTATAGGGAAGTCAAAAAATAGAAGCTTTAACTTTATCATTGTAGAGTAAGAAATAAGTTTCCTGGGTGGAAAACTAATAGCCTTTCTTTTGCAGGAAGGGCCACGCCGATTCAAGCTATAGCTTAGGCGATTCCTACTTACACTATGAGTTCCTCCATGCTGCCAAAGAAGATATGCAAGCAAATTGACAACATGAGAACCAATTTTTGGCGGGGAAATGAGAAAATGCATTGGAAAAGGTGGGACCATCTGTGTAAATCAAAGTCCATAAGGGGTCTTAGGTTTAGGAAAATCCACACTTTCAACAAGGCTATGTTAGCCAAATAGGTGTGGAGACTCTACACAAACCCAAGTTCTCTTATGGCTAAGGTTCTCAAGGCAAAATATTATAACAATGGGAACATTATTGAAGCCTCTTTGAGGAGAAAGTCAAGTTTTATGTGGAGAAGCATCAACCAAAATATAAAGACCATCAAGAGGGGAAGTTGCTGGGACACTAGAAATGGAAACAACATAAGGATTTGGGAGGATAATTGGATTCCTAATCATTAGGAATTTAAAACTATCACCAAGGAGCCAGTGGGGTCTTAAACCTAATAAGGTAAATGATCTTATTGATGGGGAAACGAAAGAGTGGAACCAAAGGGTCATTAATAATCCTTTCCTTTCTATGAACAGGAATAACATCACTCAATTACCCTTGAACAATTGGGAGGCAGATGACTGCCTTAATTGGAAGGCTACCAAGGATGGTCACTACATAGTTAAATCTGGTTATCACATAATCAATCAATGGGACAAGATGAAAGAGGTGGGAAGTTCAAAAGACAATTCTTACAAGGAGATATGGGAAAAAATTTGGAAGAGCAGAGAAATGTATCGCCAACTCTATCTGCTATGGCACTTTCTTAACAATATTGAAAGACAACCTAAGCGCTAGAGGTATAAGAATGATCTCCTATGATCTAGGTGTATGGATAAGATTGAGATTATGGACCACTGCTTCATGGAGTATCCGTGGGTTAAAAGGGCGTGATTTGGTTCATAGATAAGTCTTAGATTGACAAATCACAAGCAGACCACATTCATTGACTGGAACAAAAACAATATAAGCAAGATTAACAATGAGGTCCTTACCAAATATATCCACACGTTGGATGCCATCTGGGGTGCTAGAAACAAGGTGGTCCACGAAGGCAAAGTTATTAGGTTGGAGGATACGATCAACAACTTCAACATAAGTATTGCTACGTTTGAAAATATGATGACGGGAAAGGAAGATAAGCAGAAACACCTGTCGGGAAACAAAAAAAATAGTAAAACAACAACGTGATCAACAGAAGCATGAGAAATGTAACATAAGGGGAAATGAGGAAGTGGTAGGTAGTCATGACAATAAGACTGATTACCAGGCCAATGGGGAGCACAACTGAAAGAAGGATAAAGGAGAGCAAGTTAGCTGTGGGAACAATCAGGATACCTGCATGAATCCAGAGAACAAGAATAAAAACAACCACACAAATAACATTAATAAGGACAACAGGGTACAAAAACCCCTTGGTATATGAGATAAACCCTAATAACCTTTGTATACACAAGGATACAAAGCAACATCAAACCTGGAGGATTCAACACCATCAAGATAACAAAGAAGTAGTGGAAATATATGATAATACACAAAACCTGAAACAAAAGCAAAAGGGTCACATAGGAAACAATAACAATCACAAGGGGAAGGAAAAACAAGCATCTGATAACAACACGCCAAACAAGCAAGATAATGTAACACTACCTGAGAAGAAGTAGCATAGCAAAACCATGGGGCAAGCCAGATTACCGAGGCAGAAGACAGAGGAAGAACAACAACTCAATGCAGCAGATCAGAACCTCAGAAAAAGGAAAGAGAATCATAATCAAAATGATTACGACTGTAACAATGAAGAAGATGGAAACTGCAAAAATTGTAGCTGGATTCATGTAAATATCGATGCAAGCATGTTAAAGGATGGACACCGAGGCTTAGGGGAAATCATAAGGGACTAAAAAGGCAACACCGTTGAGACTCACTCGGGCAAGGTCTTTGGCAACACTGATGTTTTTGCAGCGGAAGCAAAGACCATGAAATCTGCGATGCAAAGGGTGATAAAGGAAGGGTGGAAGAAGGTTAGATTCGTATCAGATAACAATAACTTAATCGAAGCTATGAAGAGTAGAGAAGAAGACTTACTGAGAAATAGCAGAGGGATAGCGTGCCATAACATGTGAACGATGAAATCGAAGATGAAGAGTGTGATCTTTAAATATACTAGCAAAAACAACAATAAAGAAGCTCATTCCTTAACTAGGGTTATGTTTGGGACAAGTAATATTAGATATGGGCTTGGAAAATATGGATCCAAAGATCAAATATAATTTTATTGTGTTGTGTTTCAGATTTTTTTGACCTGATATAAAAAAAAGTATATTGATCCGTTATGTTAAGTATTTTTTTTTTAGATAATGTGTTTTTGTTTTGAAATGTAAATAACATAAGTAAGGAAAATAATTAAAAAATAATATTTTTTTTAATGGAAATGAAAACGAAACTTATGAGCAAATTTATGCATTTTTATTTTTCTTGATTCATAAGAATTACGGATAAGAAAGTAAAAAAAGTACTTTTTTTTTTCTTTAAAAAAAAGTGAAAAAGGCATAGGTGTATAATCTATCCTCCTCCACACCCTATGAACTCATTTAGTTCCTCACCTGACTCTAATGTAATAATCACTTTTCCAGTATTAACACTTTTTCAAACCACCAAACAAAACCTTACTTTCAATATGGCGATCTCATCACAATCTTTCTCACCTTCCTTCATCTTAACTCGCCACGATTCAACTCGCCCAACTCGTCTTCCCTCTCGACTCACCTTCACTCACTTCCGCAAAACCCAATCCCCTCAATTCACCGCTTCTTCGCGTCTCAACTCGTCTAAATCCTCCGATGCCGGCGGTTCCATCTCGCCGGATAACGGCGACGTCACCTACGAGCTTCACCATGATCTCTCGCCGCAGCGGCGGAGACGCGGATCGCCGGTTTTCGTGACGCTTCCGGTGAAATCGGTGGGGAGAGAGGGGAAGATATGGAGGCCGAAAGCGATGATGCTGTCGTTGAAGGCGTTGGCGGCGGCGGGTGTGGAGGGGGTTGTGGTGGAGATTTGGTGGGGGGTGGTTGAGAGGAATGAGCCTAGGGTTTATGATTGGAGAGGGTATCGGGAGCTTGTTATGATGGCTTGCATGTGTGGTCTCAAAGTTCGTGCTGTTCTTGCGTTTCATCAATATGGTTCAGATGGTGATGATCTTAATGGGTATGTGGTGATTGGATTCGAATGGATTTCAATTTTTTGTTTAGGTTATTAGTGTGTCTGTGGTAGTTTAGTGTCGAATTTGCCGAGCTTTTGTTGAAAAGTTTAATTGATTCTTGAATGGAAACAATTTTGTGAAGTGGATTTTGCTTCAGGTTTAATGGGAGTAGAGTTATGTTTGGATATTTACCCTGAACTCAAGTTTTATGTAACATATGATATATCCAATACACTAAAATTCCATTTTGAAATCATCTGTGTCGGAAGTTGGTCTGAAGTTTGTGTTTGGATTGTCCATTGTTTGACAAAATCACAGTAAAACACCGTGATTCTGTCAAACTCACTCTCAATCCATACACTAAAATCCATTTGTTGCCAGCAAAATAAATAAACACACTTAGCTAACATCGGTAGATATAAGTAGCTTCTTGTCAGTCATTTATTCAGTTCAAACTATGCTGTAGCTTGAATTTAACTTCACCATGTCTTTTTGTAAATAATTTGATGCAAGTAGGTAGTTCCTAGAAAAACTAAAAGAGAAGTTATTAAGAAAGATATCAAAATTAACAATTTGGATAAAAGCATGATTCTGCATAGAACATTGTGGCGAAAGTTGATCTATGTTGCCGACCGAAGCATGATTATCAGTTCAAATATACCGTTCCTACACTATTACCAAAGTGATTGTGTCAGGAATGGATGAATAATTGCATAGCAAAAATGTTCCTCAATTTGCAAGCGTTCTCACAATAAAGAGCGTTGTTTCTTTTTTTTAAGAATGAAATGTGGAGTATATTGTGGGGTCTGGTGGGACCTATGTTAGAGTTTTCGATGAGTTGTATGGATATTTAGAGAATGTAGTTGAGTTGTTTAAAAATTTTAAAATTGTAAAATAATGAAAAAAATTAAGTGGAACCCATTTAAACAACCCAAATGGGTATAATGGATGTGGCCATGGGTGCTCTTAGTGAGATAAGACTTGGTTGTTGTTGTTGTTGTAGCAAGTAGGTAGGTGTTTAAGGCTCATGGTTTTAAAAAGATATGAGAAGGGTTGTTTAGTTTTAGTCGGTTGGCAACCAACTGTGGCTATATTTATATCGATAATGATAATATTTGTTAGCATATTTTAGGGTTATGATATGATTATATTCCTATTTAGATTGCATCTCTCATGTATGTAAATATTTGTACAAACCTTATCATTATTGAGTAAGAAATATTCATATTCAAGCACATAAAACACTTTCACGTCTTTTAGCTCATTGCCATTATTTGATCCTTGTAGTTCTTCTATTTTACTTAGTTGGATAAGACATGATTCTTGTTGGTATGATAGTAGTTTAGATGTTTGGTAGTTGCTTGTCTTTCACATAGACATATATACAGATAATATTTTTCAGTAGTGTATGCTAATAATGTGGGAAAGTGACAATTCTAGCCTGTAAGTTTTTTATTCTATTTTGTGTGGAGATTTTGCCTGGGCAGTCTTGTTCTGAGTGTAGTCGATTTGGTTTATTTTGAATTATTACTACTTTTGTAGGTAGCTATTTTTTTTCTTGTCGTAAGCCTCAGACTCGAAGGTTGTCCCTCCTTGTGTAGGATACCACTTCCTTTATGGGTGCTTGATGAGATACAAAAGGATCCGGATTTAGCGTTTTCTGATAGATTTGGAAGAAGAAATACCGAATACATTTCCCTCGGTTGTGATATTCTTCCTGTGCTGCGTGGGCGTTCTCCCATTCAAGCATATGCAGATTTTATGAGGGACTTCAGGGACACTTTTAGGCCTTTTCTTGGCACTATCATTACAGTAAGGTTCTATGATGATTTAGGGATACTTAGTCCAATAAAGATTCAATTTTCCAGCTATTGTTATCAAATGTTTATGGTAGTTTCTGTAACTTTGTTCATTTTGCAGGGAGTGCAGATTGGCATGGGTCCTGGTGGTGAACTAAGATATCCTTCATTGTCTTTACAAAAGCTAAATTTGGCTTGGTCTCGCGAACTTGGAGAGTTTCAGTGTTATGATAAGGTTGGTTGTTAAGTCAAATTCAAATTCAGCTTTAGCTATTACTAGTTTGTAGGGTTGCAGATTTGTTATTGCTTTGTGTTTTAGTAAACCGTTGATAACTTATTTGCATACTTTATGTTGTTTGTATTGTTAGTAACAGTATCATATCGAACTTTCTGTTTCTCTTGTTTGCCAATCTCCAGTATATGCTTGCTTCTCTAAACGCCTCTGCAAGAAATATTGGAAAGCGTGAATGGGGAAATGGTGGTCCATCTGGTGCTGGAAGTTTGATCCAAAATCCTGAGCGTACTGAATTCTTTAGAAACGAGGGCGGCTCTTGGAACATGCCGTATGGTAAGTTTTTCCTCGAATGGTACTCAGATATGCTACTACTGCACGGAGAGAGAATTTGTAGGGAAGCTGAAACTATATTTAGGGGCACAGAAGTCCACATATCAGCAAAATTGGCTGCCATTCACTGGCACTATGTCACACAATCCCATCCATCGGAGGTAACAGCAGGCTATTATAATACTTTTAACAGGGACGGATACTTACCAATTTTACGCATGTTTAGTAAATACGGATTCTCGATGTGCTGCTCTTGTTTTGAAATGCAAGATATAGTTATGAAGAAGATCAACCCAGACTGTAGCCCCGAAGGCTTTCTTAGACAACTTTTGCTGGATGCCAGGCTCTGTGACATATCACTTGAAGGCCAAAATTTTTCAACCAATTTGGATGATGATGGATTCACTCAGGTGCTAAAGATGTCTAAATATTACTCAGATGGTATCGAGAGACGCCCCTTCTCATTCAACTTTGTAAGAATGGATAAAAATATGTTTGAACCCCGAAATTGGGATCGGTTTGCTCGATTTGTGAGACGAATGTCTGATGGAAACATGTTTCGAGCCCGATTAAATTCTGTAGGAAACCTACGGTTGAAAACTACAGTGGCTGCACAAGTTGGATTGTTATACCAGCTTTACCAGTACTCTTGAAGGCATATTTTAGTATTATCACCCATCACCTTTCTAGTGTTGTGAAATGTGTAGTATCTGCCGATTCTTATGATTCTTTTATTGCTTATGGGCAACTTTTACTTCTTCAGAGAGCACCACCTTACATGACCTTCCAGATTTTTATATGGTTGGCATGTTATCCCTCTCGTACCTACAATTCTAATAGACTGAGATACAATCTTGGATCCAGATACTGTTGGAATCTTAGTTCATCAAGTTCGTCCCATTTTTTATTGTCTGTTCTGTGGAGATGGATTATTGATTATCAAGCCCTGTATAATAACTTAATGATGGATATCTTTAGAGCAGATTGTATGTTTGGATTTCAAATGAGTATAAGTTGCAATTGATCCAATTATATTTCTGATTAGTGTTGTAAAATTGTTTTATTAGTCATTGTTACATGTTGTAATTATGCTAAATATTTGATGAAACTTTTATAATGCAGGCAGGCATTTGTCAAATCCTTTATCCCAACCCAAGAAACTAGTTACCATTTTGTTTGAAAGTATATATGTAATTTCATTAAATAGCTTTACTCACTGCTTTTGTCTTGAAAATAATTAACATCGTTAGTAACCTCCTGCTCAAAAAATGTTATATACAAGAAACTTTTCCCACCTTTAAACACTACTTTAGATGTAAATATTTGAAAATAATATAATTTCTGCTACTTGGAAGTGTATTTTCAGACTATTCACTGCAATAAGGAGTGAATCAAGGTTGTTAATATTGTACTTATTATGATATTAAGTTTTAATTTTGTGAAAATACCGTACTTATTATGGTATTAAGTTTTGATTTTGTGATAACTTGTATGCAATATTATTGACAATTTCTCATTTTAGAACGTCTTCTGTTTTTGGAGATATATATTTGGATGTACTCTTCATTTTAGGTGAAGGTAGATTCAAAGATGTATCTCCGAAGAGATTTTAGGGTGTGTTCGGAGATACATCTTCGAATATATTTTTTTAAATTAAAAAAATAAATATGGAGACGTATCTTCGAAGTAGGTGAGCATATTTAAAGCTCACGTTGGACTCTCCCTCTTCTCTTTCTTTATTTTTCAGAAACAAACTTTCTCTTTACCTCACTCTATCCATTTTTATTTTCCACTCAAAGTCAAGTTTGAAAACAACATTTGCTTGTATCTTGTCATTCTCAACTCTTTCTAACTACTGCATTCAACATCAGATCAGTTTACACCCTCATCAACACATTTTTGAGTAAGTTTTTCATTTAACTTATTTTGATTTTAATTAATGTATTATCTCAAATAGGTTAGTTTTAATGCATTAAATAACATTAGCATTTGAAATAGATTATGTGTAGACTCTGTATATATGATTTGAGTGAGTTTGAATGATACTTGGATGGCTAGGGCAGTTGTAGAAAAAATGTTGTCATGGAAGCTGAACAGAGTTTTTTTTTATCAGAGATGTATCTCTGAAGTGTGTTGTTTCAGGTGTTTGGAGATACATCTCCGAACACTTTCCTTCTTTATATACTAATATCGTTTGTTATATATTTTTTCAAGGATAATGATTGAAAACAACGAGAGGATGAGACTCGACCGACCTATCCTAACCATGTATGTTCATCGCAAGAGGACTCGTCAGCATGAACAGACTAGAGTCGTCCCTATGCCTCACGTTGAGGATGTTCCAGTTGCACAATAAGTCTCAGTTGCTAGGAGTCTACTATCATGTGGGTCGGGATCCCAGAGTCATGCATACCATGATGAGGATACTCCGGTTACACCGCAAGTCTCAGTTGCTGAGGATGTTCCACTTGCAGACCTTTTTTTAGGAGGATTCACAGACACTTCTTTACTGATATACTTCATAACCGGCAAAAAATAGAGAGTTGCCACCATTAATTTTTATCCTAAGGATAGGAAAATAACGGGTAATCCTAATTTGTACAGAGATTCTAAATTCGTGAGTTAGTTAGGCGAAGGGAAGACGTTAGACACCCTTCATCTCCCTTGTTCTCAAAGGGATCCTATTTTAGGTCGTAGGGTAAATCAAGAATTTCTATTTAAAAGTTGTTATTTCCATATGTTTAAGAAAATAGTTTAATTTTTAATTATGAACTCGCATTTGTTTTAACCGCGTGCCTACGTATCTCCTTGCGAAGAATCAAAGTCTAAATTCGTAGTTCGTATGTGCTTGATTAGTTTTTTTATGAACTGTGTAAATGCTTTCGAATTATCCTTGAACCTTGTCTGAGTTTGAAAATAGCATAGTCGTAGACGAAGTTCACAGTTAATTTGAAAGTAGATCTACAATCCTTTTTTTTTTAAAAATGATATTGCAATTGAATTTAAATTAGTAAAAAAAAGTGTTACGTTTGATGGATTAGTTGTTTTAGATGCATGATAAAATTTTAAAAATAAATTGAACGATCTTTGGAATTAGTAAGGAAAAGTTTGACGAATTTGTAAAAAAGATTAGTAATTTAAAAAATGAATTATAATTATTAAAAATATAATTATTCATTTATAAAAATAAATTATAATTTTTAATAATGATGAGAAAATTATTTTAATACAAATAATAATAAATTGATGTAGAGAAAAATGAATGTAAATAAATATGTAAATAAATAAATTATTTAAATATAATGAGTAAATAAATTAATTGAAATTGAACTAAATAAACAAATAAAATAAATAATATAAATAATATAAATAATATAAATAATTTAAATAAAATAAGGAGGTGTATTTTTAGTTAACACAGTAATTCTGGAGGTTAAAATAGCAAGGGCTTAAGCCCAAAAACTCATTTAAGGCCCAAAGCGCAGAGGGAGTGTTAATTATGTGGAGGAAGTAAAAGGGAGGGTTCTAATAGAACGGGTTTGGCCCAAATAGTTGTTTTGAGTCCGTTTGGACAAGGTACGAGCGAGCGTAGGAAATTATGGTGTGCTGAAGGCACGAGGAGCGTTTGATTCAGATCAAAGGGCCACCAGAGGTTAACTCTGGGGCGTTGATATGAAGTATGACAAACATGTGGCTGAGATTGAGAGCTGACTGAGGGAGCATGTTAAGACGCACGCATGGAGTACAAAGAGCATTATATATTCGATTGTTCCATTTTTTCACTTTTCCTTTTCTCCGTCTCTCTCTATCTCTCTATACTCCATCCCTTCTTACTAAACAAAATTTTAAAGAGAGAGAGAGAGAGGGGTCAGAAATTGCTCATCGCCAGTCGAAAATCGCCTCCGCCGGTGGCTGTACCTTTAGCCACCCCAAACCACTATGAGCCACCGTATAAACCTAGTGCTTCGATTGAAGCTCAATCGGGAACTTCATCCCAACCCAAAAAAAAAACCCTAGGAATCTTATAGAACCCTAACCCTTTAGAATCCTAACCCTAAGCCAAAATTTCCTAGAAACACAATTTAAACACCAAAATTCGCATCAATTCAACAATCACACAATAATTATCAAAGCCCTAAGCTAAGTGTTTTAGCGTTTACCTCTCAGTGCAGTGAAACTGGTCGTATAAAATTAGATTTCCTCCTTTGAATTCTACTTCTAATCCCTATTTTGCTTTTGTTGGCATGTACTAAGTGAAGGCGCTGGGGCTAAGCTCTAAAGATCTTAGGGTTTTAGTTGTGAAACCTAAGTCTTTCAATGATGAAGAGCTCTGGTGATAGGACGGAGATTCACAATAGCAAGCAAGGGTTTCTCCGACTTTTTTCGTTCGTCCTTAATTCTGTCGTAGTCTTAGGTTTATATAGGTTTTAGAAATTAGTTAGATTAGGAAATTTATATTAGTGATTTGCAGTTACGAATTAGAATTAGGAGTTGATTTGATTCAATTTCTAGATTTGATTTGATTTAGTTTAGAAATAGAAATTAGGGTTTGTAATGATTCTGTATCTGGACAATCTTATGTGTCGTATTCGTTCAAAATCAATAAAACAAATTTCTGAATAAAAAATTATGTTCATATTTGATTCAAAATCCATGAATTTTTGGGCTTTGTGTTTAACTTAGGGTTAATGACAACAATTGGGCGCAACTCTGCATTATGGTTTCTAACCCTTTGTTGACTTAGTCAACAAAACTTAAATAATAAACAAATAATAAAAATAATTCAAATAACATAACAATAACATCAATATCTTTTGTACATTGACCTCACTTAACTAGAATAAATATATTAAAAAACCCAATAATCTTAGTAATAAATAATAATAATATACAAGTAATAATAATGGATAATGGAAATAATAATATTTTAATATACATGTTGACTTCGGTCAACATTAATAAAAAAGATAAAAATTAATTTTAATGGGCCTCTTTAAAGACCTTAATGAGCTATTAGAATAATGAGCCTTTTTTGATGAATTATGAAACACACACCCTTTTACAAGATAATAAGAAACATCCTTGCCTATGATAAAAAACAATGACTTTTTTAGAATAACCAATACAAAATATAGAAGTTACCATTATAATTTCAAACAAATGCGTAGTAACACCAAAATTTAATAGAAAAAATGATAAAAATAAATACATTGACTATTAATATCATCAGGGTAAATTTGGAGTATGACAACTGCTTCTATTTCATTGCTCTTCGATTGAGATTGCAAGAATACGAAGGTCTCGCATATTCGAATCAGAGGGTTATTAATTAATGGAAGACCCCAATATTTGACCGAAAGATTTGGAAAAGATAAACTGTAAGATAAACCCAAAAGTAAATGGACAAGAATGACGCAATTAACTCACCAATGGCTAGAGCATGAACATATATAATTCAGATATGACGAAGCAGATAACTCGTTAACACCTAGAAAAAAGTAATCGCATATTTCGTGTATTTACCATAACCTAGGAGGTAAATAATACGGGTATAACAAATCAAGAACTTATTTCTGTTTCGAGACTAATGAAAAAAAGTCAAATCATGGTTATTTCATATTTACCACGACCTAGAGAGTAAATAACACAAGTT